CATGGAAGATTTTAAGTAGAACACTAAATAACTGAAGCATCCATTACCCAGAATCACAACTCTTTTACACTAGTTACTAACAATCCTCAAACGTCTGAGATTTGAGTGATCTAGGTTGTATTTCTCTGATCTCTAGCCAGAGATTTAATTTATCCTTTAAGCAAAGGTGCCTTTTAACATGCTTTATGCTTCTAATCCTTAACAGATTTCTTTAAACCTGTCACTACCACACTTCTAGCTTAAAAAAAATGTGATCTTTCCACTAGCATATGTTTTTTGCTTCATTACGCATTGTTTTGTCTCCATATGAGTAACCCACTGCCCTCATGTCTATTAGCTACCTAAAGTACTTTCATAACCTTTACATAATGACTCCCTGCTTGATTTCACAAGACTGATGCATGAAAATGAACTAATACAAAAAGACCATACGAGTCTAAGATGCACTCAATTAGGCCCTGATTCAGCTGAGAACTTCAGCATATTCTTACCTTGTACAAGAAGTTTCAATGCCAGTTGTGCCACACTAGAAGCATTTGCTTTCAGCTGCAAACAGCTCCTGAAAAAAGGTCCTACACCCCCATTTTTTTCCTTAAATCTCTCAATGTGACATGAAAAGGGTATCTGCAGCATGATTTTATTTCTTTATTTCTCTGATTTTAGTTTCACATGACTATGTTAGCTAACAGACCACAGAAACCTCCTTCAGTATTTTCCTCAATAACCACATGAGGAGCTCTGTGACACTGCCGGAATCCCTGAACAGCTGTTATTCACTGCAGAACTGAAGCTTGCCTTATGGAAATTCTTCTCTGATTGTTTTTTCAAGAGTCTACTACTGCAGTCATTGAGCTCATAAAGCTACTCACCGTAAGAGTCATATGTTTCTTCACTTAGTCCGTGGCCATAGTCATAGTAATCTGCTCCACTGTACGGGAGGAGGGAAGTAGGAAGAAGAAAGAATAAGAAACAGAGCAGTTACATTTTAAGAAGCAATGCTTATCATTACACATCCTACCTTTGAAAAGAAGAAAGCTTGAAAGATGTAGATATGCCCTAAGGTAAGAAAGGTAAGCATTCACATGACACAATGACAGCTTAGGTCCTGTTTGTTCATTAATAAGAAGAGAAAATAAACCCCATTTACTTCCATTCAGGATTTTTTTCATCACTGAGCCCCTGGTCCACAGTGTTAAATGTGGATGTGGGAATTTTGTATTTATAATTATACTTAGATGGGAAGGTTGAAGATCTTATGAGTCCCAATGAAAGAAGAGGAGAAGGTATAGGTACTGAACCCAATCCCTTTGTCTTATGAACTTCTTTTCATTACCTCCTGTTGCCCAGTATTTTGTCTTTGCATCTTTAAATTCACTGATAAAAATGCAATAAAGGACAAGCAACTTGCTGATCAGAGGGTTATATAGTTTCTATACGTGTACAGGTTCCAGTGTCTTCAAAACAAGATAAATGTACACATATGCAAATGCTATCATTTTAATAGGCAGAGAAGAAACAGGAACTTCAAAGTTAAAAGCAGAAATCTGCAGGCATTAAGATTCAAAAGTATGTATGAATACCATACCCATGGCCTAAACCAGTCTTCCATTTCATAGTGGCATTTCTATTTGTATCAAGACCACTGAATAGAAACTGAAGGACAAGCCTTATTATATACTACTATTTCATTATGCTTTCATATTTCATATAAGTATAGCTATGTATAGTCTTTTATATAATTGACGGAACAAAAGTCTATTAGACATGTTTGTAGAACATCAAAAGCAAGACTCTTAATGGTTTCTTTCCTTTTCTTTCTAACCACAACCAGACCCAGGGCTGACGATGCTTGGAAAATACTCTACAAACTGATGCTACCAAGTCATTACCTTCTGAGTGAGAAGGAAATCACTGTAATATATGATCACTAGCAAGTAATTACTAATATTGACAAAATGTTTCTAACATTAGATTGATTGCTAACAAAATAAAAAAACAGAAAAAAGGCAATTTATAGCCTTAACATGAATTAGCAGGTAAAGCATTTATATAAAACAAGTAACACATCACAATCACTTCTAAACCAACACAAGACGAAGGTCTTTGCTGTGTTTGGGTTGTTTGTGTTTTAGGGTATTTTGGCTTTTTTTTTTACCTAAAAATTTTTAATTAGCACAAAATAATCCAGGCCAGAAATAATACAGTTCTTGTATGTGCAAATACATATCTAAGAAGTGTGGATGAGGATCTGCTATTGCTAGTATAAGGCTTCCTAAACAAAAACTTAACCAGAATGCACTATGAAGACCCACAAAAAAGTATCTGTATACAACCTAAATGTTATCTATGTGTCAGTCAGCGTGATGAGGATCCCAGAATAACAAGGGCAAAGTTTGAGCATAAGAAATAACATAATTTTGCCCTGCAGCAGCCAGTGATAAAAGTCTTTATTCTGACAACCAACTTAAAACTGACATTCCACTATCCTTCCACACAGTACTTGATTATTTATTTTAAGGCTGTCGTCAAGTTTAGAAGCCTATAGCAGCTGAGCTCTATCCCCGTATCTGTCAATCCTGTCAGAATGACTTTTGCAGGGTTTCATTTCATAGACCTAAAATATCTATTAAACAAAAAATGACTCATTTCACAGCATATAAACTGCAAAACAAATAAACATCAGAAAGGAAAAATCTTTTACTTATACTGAAAGTATATCATGACCCATCAAAATTAATAATCTTTCCAAAAAGTACAAGTTATAATGTGAAGTAGTGTTGCCTAGTGCAATTCAATACACTCTACTCTGAGCACTTTCATTTGTGCTCTATGAACAACACTAATGCTCTCTCCATGCAACTGCATGTTAAACAAATGCAAAACTTAAGATTAAGACAATTTAAAGACTATGACCCAAACAAAAGGGTACATCCAGATGGCTGTTAAGTCCTCGGTAAAAAAGAAAACATTAAAAAGATTTTTTTTTTGTTTTACCTGTAACAGTCTGAATAGCCCATGGAGTTCACAGCCAAAACCAAGATCTGAGGGTTTTTGGAAGGAATTTTAGAAAAATCTAGTACTGTATATGAAGTTACAGCTTACAGAACTGTATTTTCTTCAAAGCAATCACCTGCTAAAAGGAAACCTAGTCAAAGGAACCTGCAATATCAAACTTCTTTGTAAATTGTACATTTGAACTCATTAACTAAGATAGTGGAGGTCAATTCTATCGTAAGGAATTAAACAGCTATATTAAATAATTCTTCCTCTGGGCAGAAGGTATTATGTCAATTTTTGTTTTAAAAGCATCCTTGACATACATACTTTTTTATATATGTTCTCCGGCATCTTAGCATTCTGACTGAACACTATTCAAACTCTGTATTTCCCTTTAATGGATTTATTCTGGAAGGGAAACCCTTTTCTTCCTATTCCTTTCATTTCCTCTCATAGAAAGGAGAACAAAACCAAAACAGGTTCATTTTCTTTTTTAAATCATGTGCGTCCCTCCTTTCAGAACAAGGTAAAAAACATACCATGGCTCCCTTCCTTTTTAACCCAGAATGACTAAACCTCGAGTCTGCTTTGAGTTCGTATGTTTGAAGATGTGAAATGTCCTCTTGAGGCCATTTTCTTCAATTTTCTTTTCTTAATTTTTCCTTACTTCACAGTTGTCTGCAAGTAGTTTCTCCCTAGCAGCAGATGGGGGCAGTACCTGAAAATTCTGTGATGTCTGCTTTGTAGATGGATAATTGCATTACATGGTACAGTCAGGCAAGTTTTCAAGCATTTTCCTAGCCATCAAGTAAACAGTACGAGTGCAATCAACACTGGAGTATCAGCTGTGAATCAGATCTTTTGTACATATAGAGCCCTTGCTTATATCAACTCATATTTAACTTTTGTATTCCCATTCCAGCACAGTGTCTTCAGGCTGACAAGAGAGAAGACTGAGATGGCAAAGAAAAAAAATGCTTTGATTTTCCATGTCAACATAAAAACTTGGAATCACCTAATGGTGTAGAAGGATTAGCAAACAACAATAAACTTAAGTATGTTGCTTTTAATTGCTGAGGGCTGGGCATTAATCCTACAATGCTTAGAGGAAGTGTGAAGTGAGGTTTAAGTAGTTTAAATAAGGCCGGGGGAAGTGCCTGTTTTCTCTGTTCAATAAACAGCCTAAGATAGAGAAGAGCAACCTCAGCAAGTGCAGATTTTAGCACTGCATCACTGATTAAGTAAAGCCTTAGAGGAGCTTTATCTAGTAAAACAAGAGGACTTGGAAGCTTCCTGCCATTTTTCTAGAACCACTGTGCTGTGAGAAGTGTCTTAAGATACTTTAATTTAGAGGTATTCAACATAAGCCTTCAAAAGGTCTTGCGGAATATGACCTGAATTTCTCAGGCTTTTCTGCTAAGCTGCTTGTTTCCGAAAATATCTTGATGAACCATAATAGAACAAATCTTCGTAAAAAAACAAATAGCAGTTACTGCTCTTGACATGATGGTTAAGTCTTAAGGGACTCTTCCCTTTTATACTAACTATTAGTTTATTCCGTCTAGAGATGCTGGAATATTCTCTTGGGACAGATATCAACAGAATGGTAGAGTTTCAACCTAGCACTCATGAATATATCAGAATAGGTCACTAGGCTATTTTTGGGACAATCCTAGAACAGGCATGGCAACCACACAGTGCAAGTGTTCTGTAGTATTTCCAAAAAATCCATAAAGGTAGTCAAAATATATTGTGATTAATGAATGCGATTGCCACGGCTCTTTAGATTTGATATAGGCATCTGTTAGAATCAGCATTATGCCATTTCTGTGTTTGAAACAAAAGTAGTATGGCAGGGAGGCTGACTGCTAAGGGGAGAGTAAAAGGTCTCTAATTAAAAGCTTCTAGTTTACTGGAAAAGCCCAGACTTAAGCACTGACAAACCCGGTTATGGGTTTAAGCACTGAGCGAGCTGAAACTGTCTTCCTCTTCAGTGATGAAAGACAGCTTTTGCAACAAGTTCAGCTTCTAGTAATGCTTACTAGGGAAAAATGGAAAAAGATTCCTGCTTTTTCTTTGGCACACTGGTATTACAAGTAACTTTGGGACTGATCCCTTTAGACCAGGGACTGATACCTTTAGCCAGGGCAGTTTCAGAAAGTGACAAAAAACTCCTTTGAAACACAAAGGGTTCCTTTTCTGCTAGGAGTAGCTCCACATGTGTCACCTTTGTCCTTCTACACAGAGGTCGCACAGAACACCAAAGTAGAAAGAACAAATGAGGCTCTCTCTAGCAAGAGGTCTTACATGACAGATCCTGACTGATTTGATCACATCTGAACAGAACTTTTCCACAAGGACAAGCCTCTTTTTATCATTCCTACCAGATCTCCATACTTCTTATATCAAAAGCATCCATCAACAGTAAACAGGAAGAAGAGTGCCCCAAATGCTATTGTCAAAGCGACAATCACTGTAGTGAAGCTTCTCATATCTCCACAATTGTCTTGAACATTGAGTTGAATATCTGTTCTTAATGCTTCTGTGGATCATTAGAACACCGTATTCTGTAACCCAGCTTACAGCAGGATAGCATAGAACCAGGATATCAAGAGGAGATCCACATCTTTTCTTGCATCTTGAAGACAGATTTTTATTTAATGCCCAGTTCTGCCACTCCTTAGCAGAAGCTTCTTTGGTACATACTCTCATCCCTGCATCTCAGTTTATGTCTGTAAAACAGATAATGATCTCAGAAAGCAACCGAGACCTGTATGTGAAAGCTTTATAAAATACAGAAAAAAGATGCAATCTTCCTTAAATTATATCCTACTGTACTCTCATATGGATAATACAAATAGCAAATCTATTTCCTATAATCCTAAAGGATGACCGGAGTGCCCCCTCAAGGATTCCCTTAGCTATCACTAT